TTTGCTTGTTTTTTGCAGGGGAAAGTGTGTTTCGTGTGCCAGCAGAAAGGGCATGTAGCAAGAGAATGCCCGAACAAACAGGCGGTTGCTGCCGCCTCTAGAGCGGCGATTGTGAAGGGCGGGAATCCTGACGAGCTGTGCCTGAAATGCGGATACAGGGGCCACAGTCGGCAGACATGTGACGTTGATTATGACCCAGAAGATATGAAGGTGAACATTTCACTTGGTCGAGCCCGGTATGAATAACATTTCACTTGTTTGATCCTTGTCTATATTTGTACACGTGTGTCGATACTTCGCCGGCGATCCACGTGGGCCCATATGACTGCAGTTACCTGTGTGTTGAATTGCCGCACAGGCCTGTGGTTTGTCCCAAGGGAACGGGCCTCGATCCACCACTCACCAAATGCGCAAAATGAGAACAAATCTTCCGCTAAAACACGGAAAGATGCGTCTTTTTTTTTGTGCATGTGGTGACTAGCGGAGCGAGGCCCAATGGGTGAGTAACTGTGAGTTTCTTTGATAAAAAAGACAAAAAGAACAGACTCAAAAAAAAAAGGAAAAGACTGAAACCATACCTGTTGGTGAATCATATGATGGGGTTATCGGTTGCAGAAGCCGTGTCCCGAGCATGTTTCGGCTGTGACTGTTTGGATCTCTGTCAATACTTTGCGGCTGGCTCCAGATGACTGCAGTTGTGATGCTGAATCCAGTTGTGGATGTCTAATCCTGAGTGTTCATGCTGCGGCTGCGTCGATTGGTGCGTCGATACTTCGTCAGCGATCCACGTGGCCGCTTATAACTGAAGTCATCTGTGTTGATTGCAGTGCAGTCCTACCCTGGACGCCTTGTTCAGAGCGTTCCTGCTGTTGCTGCTTTGATGAGTGTGTCGACGCTTTGCTGCCGATCGATGTGACCCCTGATATAAACTGCAGTCATAGCTGTCGATTGCCTCTGGGTCCTGTGGTTGTGATGCTGAATGCAGTTGTGGATGTTTTGTCCTGAGCGTTCGTGCTGCGGCTGCATCGACTGCTCCATCGATACGTTGCCGGCGATTTGGCACAAGAGAATGCCCTAGTATAGACTGCACTTATAGCTGTCGATTGCCTCTCAGTCCGGCGGTTTGGCACAAGAGAATGTTGGGAGTTCGTTCAATTGAAAGGTGGTAAGAAAAGACGAAGCCGTACGTGTTGGCGAATCGCATGATAGGGTCATCTTGTCCAGAGTGTTCCTGCTGTGGCTGTGTCAGTCTGCTCTGGTGAAGGCTGTGGCTGCTCTTCGGCGGATCGGATAAGCGTGTGGTTGTTATTGCTTGTTAACCTGGGCTATGGTATGGCAAACTGCAGAGGAGTGGTATACCTGGCAGACCAGTCCATGGGAACCGGGAGCTTTGCGCTCAGTCCACTCTCTGTAAGAAAAAAAAAAAAGTTAATCCCCTCAGATTTCTGTCTGGGTGCCGCGGTTTCCGTAGCATTTCGAAGAACTTGCAGCCTGATGGAGCATTTTTGAAACTCGTTCGTTGTGCTTGGATTTGCTGGCAGTTCGACTCCTTGTGTTAACTGGATGACGGTCATCATTTCGCAGTGATTTGTTAACGTGAAGGCGGTCATTATCTTTCCGGCTTGTCAGAGAATAGTGCAGGTCGTAGCGTGACACTGTCGTACGTTTCTTTCTGGTATGTCGGTGCTGTGCTGGTGTTCTCTTTCAAACTACTCAACGGAGCTGAAGCGGAACACCAATTTTCTCACCATCTATCAGCAAGGGAATGACGGGCCCAACCCAGCTACGCTAATGCGTCCCCACGAATGTGCACTGGGATTGCCACTCCTGTTGTAGGTCTGTTTCTGGTGCTGTGGTATCCGTGAACAATGATGGTGCGTCAACTCGTCTTTCCCATTGATGGACCAAGCGGAACTGATGTGTGTTCAGGACTTGGCTTTCTGCGAAGCTACAGAAGCCTCTCAGCAACTAAATCTGTTCAGCAGAATCAGCACACCTTTTTTCCCCCCCCCTTTGTCAGTCGATCAGAGTGTGCAAGACTGCCGCCACAGAGGTTGGAAATCCTGAAAGAGCTCATGTCAGTTGTCTTGTAAGATTATTGCATTTTTCAGCGCAACCGAGCAATGCTGGTAGTATGGCGATTGGCAATGGCAGTGGAGGGCAGCAGTGTGTGGCCTCTCTCTGTGTCTGTCTGTCTGTCTCAGCGGAAGGCAGCAGCATGTGGCCTCTCTCTCTCTCTCTCTCTCTCTCTCTCTCTCTCTCTCTCTCTCTCTCTCTCTCTCTCTCTCTCTCTNCTCTCTCTCTCTCTCTCTCTCTCTCTCTCTCTCTCTCTCTCTCTCTCTCTCTCTCTCTCTCTCTCTCTCTCTCTCTCTCTCACAGCTGGGAGTGCATTTTTCTGTCTTCGTGACCGTGTTAGTCATTTTGAAGTGGGAGTCTGTGGGACACCGCTGTGTTTGTCAGCCTGTGGGTGCACAGACCACAGCAGCTACAGATGGGTGAAGTCAGGGCCGTGAAAAAAAAAAAAAAAAAAAAAAGAGTAACAAACGAGAGAAGGTTCTGATCCTACCCCTCAAACGCTGCTCGTTTGGGCCTCTGCTGAGCTGGTTTCCCTGCTGGAAGAAATATTAGCTTTGGCGTGCAACCAGTAGGGGGCGCAATGCTGCTGTTTGTTGTTGTTGTTGTTGTTGTTGTCGTCGTCGTTGTCGTTGTTTTTCAAACAAAGCCCTTGTGCAAGGCCCCTATCCCAGTGGTGGTAAGAGAACCACCGGGATTGAGGCTTTGTCAGCGGGCCACTCCATCTATTGGTGGGTAGTAAGCATGGCTACAATCAGGACGTCCGGACCACCGTCCAGGATCCGTCCCCACTGAGGAGCCAAGCCCCCAAAATTGTTCTGGATGTTTTTCAGGCCCGTTTTTGTTTTTTTTGGGGGTCCGTACATGGTCTATCTCTATAATAATTTAGTACTAGTCTTACATGAACCCGATCTGAATGCCGGCCAGATCCATGCGTGACACTCTCAGCCTAGAGGGATCTGGTCCTTCATAAGGACGTGTCCTGGACCTACGACGCCATGCAGCAGGCTTCTAAATGACGATGGGTGAGCCCCTCTAGAGGTCTAAATGACGAGTGCGACAGTCTACCCAAGTACCTGGTCCGAATGCAGACCAGGTTCATGCTAGTTGAACGTCTTTTCAGCCTAGAGGGTTATTGCCCCGATAAGAACAAATCCGGCCGACTATGAAACGGTGTTGAGGTGGCGAGAGATGTAAGGGCCTGAGGGACCATTGGAGGACTCTCTAAGCTGCAATTGTGAGTCTACTAAGAACCTGGTCTGAATGCGGACCAGGTTCATGTTGGTTGAACATCTTTCAGGCTAGAGGGTTATATTGCCCCGCCAATAACGAATTCAGCAAATTATGAAACGGTGCAAGTGAGCAAGAGATGTAAGGGCCTGAGGGGCCAAAATGGAGACAATGGAGGGACTGAAAGTGCAAGGGGTTTCAATTATCATAGAGGAACAAAGCAGAAGGGCAATATCAGCCTAGTTAATGCCCACCTTAGCCACCCCCTTATATTTATTTGTGGGAAATATACCAAATAACAAGTTACAAAAAAAAAGGAGACCATCTTTTTCTTTTGGCAAAGCGAAGGGTTAGAACATAGAATCTCAGAAGTGTTTTGAACTGTGGAAGGAATCAAAGGATGGATGGATGGATGGATGCATCTGGAAAAAAAAAAGGAAAAAAAAGGGATGGATGCCTGCCTACTATGTGCTGTACTGGCGAATATGATTTGCTTGTATGCCATCTTGTTTCCCTTTTCTTTTTTTTTTCCTGTCATCTACGTTCATCTGGATTCGAACTCTGGTCTGTATTTCAACAGTTCATGGGTGTACCAACTGAGCTAGGCCGGTCGGTATGCCTTTCATTTCTAACATGCCTTCAAGGGTCTCTTACAGGTCACAGCTTCTCAATACCGCCTTTGCTGCAATCAAGTGGGCTGTTTCCACTGCAGTGAGTATGGCTAGGCGACGACAGGACAAGGGAGGGTGTGGTGGGGATGGGGGCTCGCGAAAAGAGAAGTGAGAAAATGTGCGAACGCGTAGAGATGTCATCATCGTAAATGGAGTTTAGATAAAGGAGTGGAAAATTTGGATATGGTGTGATGGTGCGTGCGCACACACGCATGCATGCTAAGATACACACACACAGATTCACCCACCCACACACACACACATACACACAGGCTCTGGGCGACGTGGCGAATCCTTATGCATCAGTCAAATGCACCCTAGGCAGACTGTGAGGGCTTGACTTCCGGAAGAGTCGGCGAAAGACTGACGAAACAGTCTGGTAGAGTCATGCTTTGTTTCTGGAGTTGTGTATAGTGAACAAGGCAACACATACAGGCTAGTTTCTCTGATTTACTGCCATTTCTTGTCAGGGGTGTAGAGTGGGTATCCATGACTGAGTGGGTGTGTAGAGTGGGTTTTATGGCTGTGACAGGCTAGTTTCTCTGATTTACTGCCATTTCTTGTCAGGGGTTTGGATCGACGGTCTGCTAGGATTGCGGGGTTGGTGCGAGTAAAACCGACCACTTTTCGGTCGTACAGGTATTGCTAACTCTGGGTGGCGTGGCGAGTCCTTATTCATCAGTCCGCCGATGCATCCTCGGCGGCGGACGGTCGGGGTTCAACCTCCTGATGATGAGGTGGTGAGAGTCCAATGAAAGTGTATGGTGCAGTCATGCGTTTCTTGTGGAGTTGTGTACAGCCAACATGACAACACAGACGCATACACAGACTCATGTCTACTGGTACCGTGTTGATTTTTTTCCAACGGCGGGTACCGGGTTGGTTTGGTCAATGTGACCGGTGGCCGCCGTTGGACAAAAATCAACAGGGTCTTGTCCGAGCCTCCCACAGGCAATTTGGGGCCCAAAACTGCTGTTCGTTCGTTGCCCTTTGGGCCCTAGACGGCCCAGACGTGGTACACGTATACGAAAAGGGGTAAACAGTAACTGCGGATGGACTGGGTGCAGTAACTGCGGTTTAACCACACGGATGCGGCCACCCCTGCACCCCGTAACGGATAAACAGTAACTGCGGATGGATTGGGTGCAGTAACTTACGGGGTGCAGTAACTGCGGTTTAACCACACGGATGCGGCCACCCACTGCGGTTTAACCACACAGATGCGGCCACCCCTGCACCCCCCATAAGGGATAAACAGTAACTGCGGACGGACTGGGTGCAGTAACTTACGGGGTGCAGTAACTGCGGTTTAACCACACGMATGCGGCCACCCGTGCACCCCGTAAGGGATAAACAGTAACTGCGGATGGACTGGGTGCAGTAACTTACGGGGTGCAGTAACTGCGGTTTAACCACACGAATGCGGCCACCCGTGCACCCCGTAAGGGATAAACAGTAACTGCGGATGGACTGGGTGCAGTAACTTACGGGGTGCAGTAACTGCAGTTTAACCACAAGAATGCGGCCACCCGTGCACCCCGTAAGTCCTTTGTTGCCCGGCACGCAGAATTAATGCCATGGTTCCAAGCTGGCCCGTTGTTTCTGGTTGCCCTGGACAGTGATATGCACTGATATGTCCGTAACACCTGGATCTGGATGGTGTGAATGCCGTCCGTATGTCCAGAGCCCTCCAGGGAAGCGGTGCCCCGCCCCGAGAACATAGCCTTCTTCGTTCTTTATGTTTTTCACTAGAACTTGGCCATGAATTTCAAAATGACACTCAGCTGAAAGCTTTTACTTTCTGTTTTCTTAAAGACGATGACCGGCCCCATTCCGAAGTATATCTTATTTCGTTCGTCTTGTTGCTCCATCTGGATTTGAACTCAAGGTCTGTATTTCAACAGTTAGATTAGATGGAGTGGGGTTGTACGGCGGTTGTGCGGTTGGTTGGAGGGACAAGGCGAAACAGGAGGAGCATGGACTTAGAATAGTATGAAAGCAATAAGGAACTCTGAAAAGGAGTGGGGGTGGGGGAAATGGGAAAGAGGAAAAGGCGAATGCGTATAAAGCGCTATAGGGGATTTATACCTGCTTTACCAGTGCCTTGTGGTGTTGCGCACATTTGAGGGGGGGGTAGGGGCGGGGGGGGGGGGGGGGGGAGGGGAGAAGGAAAAACAAGGAAAGGGGCATGAACTTGAAACGGGAAGCAGGAAGCAGGAAAAAGTGAATGACCATAAAAGATGATAAAATGGTAATAGAGGATTTACTGGTGTCTTGTGGTGCGTTTCGTACGTTTGTGCATCTCTTATCTACTGTCTGGTTGCGATCCTGGCGTCATCCACTTTCGACTTGTCGATCCCATGACATGAACATCAGGTTGTGCGCTGGAGGGGAGAAGGAAAAACAAGGAAAGGGGCATGAACTTGAAACGGGAAGCAGGAAGCAGGAAAAAGTGAATGACCATAAAAGATGATAAAATGGTAATAGAGGATTTACTGGTGTCTTGTGGTGCGTTTCGTACGTTTGTGCATCTCTTATCTACTGTCTGGTTGCGATCCTGGCGTCATCCACTTTCGACTTGTCGATCCCATGACATGAACATCAGGTTGTGCGCTGTTACATATGCAAAAAGGAAGGGCACTTAGCTTGTGTCATTGTGAGGAATGATAATCCGCCGGCGATGACTTGTTGCAAGTGTGGAGAGAGCGGCCACTCTGGGGAGGTGCGTTAAGTAATTGCTCTAATTTGCGAAGATTGAACACTATTGGGGGGGGTGGGGGGAGGATGGCCCAGAAGGATGGGGGGGTGTGCAGTCTTTACTTCTCTGACAATAAGCGAAGGAAAAATCCGGCAAGCAAGTATGTCTAAGAATCTGTTCTTCTTTTCTGTTTTTGGAAAGCGGGAGATGGTCATCGTGGTGGGAGAAGGCGGGAGGATAGGGAGGGGCCTTTGGGCGGTTGTAGAGTGTGGGAAAGGGGCGGAAGGCCCAGAAAGGTGGGGTACGGTATATACCTCTCTCACAGTCATTTAGGTGAAGCAAAGGGAAATCCGGCAAGCAAGTATGTCTAAGAATCTGTTTTCTTTTTCTGTTTCTGGAAAGGGGGAGATGGTCATTGGGGTGGGAGAAGGCAGGAGGAGAGAGGGGGCTTTGGGCAGTTGTCGCATTTTTGCCTCATTCCCTTGTGCCTGGTCTGTGGTCCTTTGACATCTTCCGTTCTTCATTTCTTCAAAAGACGTGGTCTACTAGTAATGCAGGGAGAGACGACGATGTGAGACAGAGGAAAATGGGAGAAAAAAGTCAATAGGGCCGCGCTCGACTACGCACCAAATATGCAACATGAGAATGAATCTTTCGCTAAAACATGGGAAGATACTACGCCATATTTTTTGTCTTTTGTGCATGTGGTGAGTCGTAGAGCGAGGCCTGTGGTCTTGCTTTTGAGCTGATGTTGGGTTTCAGTTTTTTTCTTTTTCTTTTTTTTTGTGCTACCGTTCTTGCTTTCTGGCTTCTCCACCCGAATAGAGAGCCCGGGGAAAAAGAAAGAAGAGAACGTCTCCCGTCTTCACCCGAAAATAACGCCCGAGCATTATATTAAACTTACCCTGAAAAGAATCAAAAGATCAGATTTCGTTTTTACTCTCTTTTTCTCAAATAGAACGCCCCTTCGAATACAACGCCCGTGCGTTATATTTGAATGTTCCGTGGGCAGACTGCCTTGTAGAGGTAGCATACATGGGTTTGAAAGGGCGGGGATGGGGGGTATATATGGGTTTTAAAGGGGGGGCCGAAAGGGGTTTATTTCGGTTCGATTTTCAGTTTCTAGTTTTTATGTCCCGAGTTTATAAGGAATTCTGTAGTGACAATGGAACTTAATTAGTAAGAAAAAAGAGAAATTCCGAAAGACGGAAGAAACCTTGCGGGTCGCTCTCGCCCCACAACAAAAAAAAAAAAGGAAATTCTGTAGTGACCCTCAGCCAAAAGATGGTCGTATTGCAATTCTGGACAACATGTTTTTGGTAGTTTATTTGTATACAACACTTGGGCGTTTTTTTTCGGGTGAACACGGCAGTCATGATCGCTGTATCTGGACTGACATTTGGCCTAATTCAGCTTTAATGACTGGGTGTACCATTTTTGGGTTTAAGACGGTTGCCAATGCTCGGTCTGAGTGGGGGTTGTTAATTTCTGATCGTGGAGGTGTGTCGAGTGGTCTCTTGGATGAAAAAACTGTCTGGCAGGGGTGTTACAAATTGGTAGGGGTTTCACGACTGAACCCCTCTTTGATTCGTTTGTGTGGTGCAGGGGTGCAACAAATTGTCGGGAAAGCAAAAAGCGTCTTACGCCGCGACCAGTCCTCAGCTCTGTTATATTTGTGGAGAAGACGGCCATTTTGCACGAGGCTGTGCGAAAGCCAACCTTTGCCGCTACTGTAACAAGGAAGGCCATATCGCTCGCGACTGCTGGAGGTTTCGGAGGGAGGTATGCCAGTCCATAGAGTGGAATCATCCACATGCCTATGCCTGCCTGTTGCTGTGATGCGTGTAACTGAATGTGAAAACATTTTTCTTAAAAAAAGGTATCTGTCAAATTATGCACAAGGTATGAAGATGAGGG